TGAAAAATACATAAAAATATTGAGAAAGTTATATAAAACATTATTTAAATATCTTTACCAATGGGGTAGGTTAGGTTAGGTTAGGTTAGATTGTCGGGTTTTGTTCAAGTGACCACCCTCTTTCGATCCCCCACCTCCACCCGTCTGAAAATATTTTTTTATTGAATTTTATTTGAATTATAGTGTATGAAAATTGTCAAAATAATCAACTTTCAACCCTCATAACTTTCTATGGGGGTGAGACCGCCACGAACTTTTTATGATACAGTGGTGGGGGAGACCTCCTCTTTCGATCCCACTCACCCCCCATCCCGCCATCATCTAGACGTTTACCAATACATATATTGTGATTTTGTTTTTACTTAAGATTAATGTAATCATACTTAACAGAAACAATGAATACGGAATATTTGTTATAAATATAGTAATTAGATAACTAAAACTTAGTTATTTTCCACAATTGAAATCGTTTTTCATTGAGAAAAAAAAATAAGATATTGAGGCAACGTTTTTGAACGTCGGGTACATACTTTTCTGGTTCAATATATTTCAAAAAATACGTAAAGGCTAATTAAACTTACCGGTTCTAAAGCTATAAAAAATTCGTGTTTGTCTTGTTGAGGCTTTACACCTTCAATTTTTTCTAACACTACAGGATCGGCTCCATAAAAGTGGGGTAAAGAAACAAACGCGGGACTTCCATATCGGCAGGATGAAATGTTCATTATGCCATAGGGAACGCATTCTCCGTTACAAAAACAACTGTTTTCAGGGTAATATGTTCCTGAAAAGCAATTTCGAAAAAAGGTAAAAACAACGTAAAATATCTAAATTATCTTTCAGTCTTAATTAAGCTTAAATAACGTGGTATTTTGTATTTTAAAGTATTTGAAGATTATCTGTACGTCTTCTCATATGAAATGATTACAAATTGACTTCACCATTTTCTTTTCGTTCTTATATAACTATTAAAAGTCAACAATAAGAAGAAATTAATAAATAAAAATGAATTCGGTTCATTCTGAGACAACCTTATATTAAAATCGTAATTAAACAAAAAGGGGCAAGATATTTTATTGACCACAGTAATTTTTTTGCCCCACAACAAAATTTCCTCCATCTGAATAAGCCGCTGTGTAATAAAATAATCACCGTGGTAAAAAAAACAGTTGTGGCACGTGTTGATTACAATAATGTCCTTTTAAAGAATTTTGGATACATATATACCCATAAACGTGAATTATAGAAAACTTATTAAAATTTTTTCTTGACTTTAGACAATAACATTTATACGATGTTTTCTCGACTTGATTTTATCTCATTGGATTTAATATTCCTTACCGTTATCAAGCATACTTCTGCCCGCAGAATATTTGTAAACAGTAACTCCTTGAACGTTAATATCCTGTTCGTAATCCAGCTTTACGTTTCTGCATAAATCTGTAGAAAAAAATCGTATGCCGTCCCGTTTTTGTTTGGGCGGGAACAGTTCTCCCGCAGAACCATCAACGTTTCCACATTCTCCGGGAAAATAAGGCGTTCTTGTCCAATAATTCCATCTTTGTAACTTCCCTATGGTGTTTCCCACACCAGTTTCCATATTAAATATCCCTTCGAACGATGATGAACCATTTCTCTATCGAAAACATAAAAATAATCGCTTTGAAACATTAAAAAATATCATCGAGTACATGCTGTACTTAATCAATAATAAATTAGATCTTTTTTGTAGTGAATTGCACAGTAAATTTTAGTTTTTTTTTTACAATTAACTATCGGTGATTGTTAGGTGTAAAGAAGAAAAAAACGGTATAAATTTCAGGTGGTATTGGAATTCATAAGTGCGCTCGCTCAAGGTGAGTTTAAGGATAAAATAAATGTACCATCACGTTACTAAAAAGTAATGATTTAATCGTGTTGTAAAAATTGAATTTGTAAATAGTTACGTAATAGTCACCACTAGAAAATTATTATTTCTACACCTCAACACCAAGTCGTTAAATTTTTTCTAATTTCGATCTACTACTGCAGTTATTATAAAAAAAAATTTGGTTCACAATATTATTTTTACTGTTAGTTTGAAAGTTGCGCTAATATTAAAAAGAAATGCAGTTTCTGTATTACTTACTAAAATTATTTTTCAAAATAATTAATATTTGATTAGATATATGTATGTATCAGAATGAAGAAAAATTCTTACCTCGTAAAACCATGCAAATTTTTTAAACGGAGGCATACTAGACCCTGCCAAGAAAGGCATGCTTTGAGCGACATTTAGGAAAAAGTCTTCGTATCCGTCGAAAAGAATTTCACTCGCTTTTTTGGTAACATGTAACTCCGAAACTGCATTATTGAGTACCATGGAGAGTCCCCGCTTTGCAACAAATCCCCAGTACTTTGCTTGATGGGTAACACTCTAGAAAATAAGAAAGTCAGACGAAGGTGTTAGGATTGTTATTACGAAAGAGAAGAGATAAAGTTTCATGAAGGTATTTTAATAGATTTTTGAAGTGAAACTTCTTTACGCACGGTAGGGTATATTCGTTTCATGCGAGTTGCTATGTAACGAAATCATGCAACGGATGTCCCCCCTCTACTCGGCCACGTAGTCGAGTTCGTAGTGGGGATCGCTTAAGTCGTGAGCGCGCTTCAATGCANTAACCCCCATAACTTTTTATGGGGGTGAGACCGCCACGAACTTTTTATGGTACAGTGGTGGGGGAGACCTCCTCTTTCGATCCCACCCACCCCCATCGTCTAGACATTTACCCGATGCTTTTATATTATGCTATTGTTTATTAGGTACCTATACATTAGTAAATTAGTGTTAAAGATATGGCATGGCTCTGTACGGATGCGAAACATGGACGGTGGGCGCGGTAGAAAAGAAAAGATTAGAAGCGTTCGAAATGTGGTATTATAGGCGAATGGTGAGGATACCGTGGATAGAGACAGTTAGAAATGAAGAGGTATTAGAAAGAGTAGAAGAACAGAGGGCGCTATAGAATATAGAATTCGATAAGAAATAGGCGAGATAGGTTATTTAGAAATATATTAGTTGCAGAAACAGGAGCTAAGAGAAGTAAAGGTCCTAAATTAAATTACTCTTCACAAAGCGTTAAGGATGTGTGATGTTCTAGTTTTAATTGCGAAGATTCAGGACTGTTGACTTTATGATGATGGTATATTTTTATTATCTAATTATTTAACGTAACTTTTTATTGATAGGAGCGTAGTATCTTTAGTTAATTTAAGAAAATTTCGGTAAAAAAATTAGGAAAAAAAAATGAAATTCATCTGGCAACGTTGGTTTCTGTTATCTAGCTCTTTATTGTACGATAAGGAACATCGTTCCAAAATTCCTGATCTCTACTTTGTAATGTTTAAATTGGTCTGTCTAATACTTTTGCTTTGTGAGTCGGAAGAAAAGTAAAAATCTTAGTCCTAGGTGCTATAAAATACTCCAGTCATAACCATATTATTATTCTCAAGAATAATTCATGAGCCTATCCAAGCGTTCTTTTTATTGACACAAACATGGATTTAGAATGCGTGAAGAACCATTGAACAATGTACATGTAATTAAAAACACGTGCAAATGGTTAATATTAAGTGTTTACACTTCACATTTATTATTCTACCATCATTTTACTGGCAGAAATGCGACGAAATTGTTCAAAAAACATCAATAGTGTGCGTAAATCATGAATAGACATTTTCCTTGTAGTTTCCGATTTTTTGCAGTTATTTTTGTTCGGTATTGACAATACAGCATTGAATGAAAATAAATAAAAGTAAAATAAAAATACTGGTATACAAGGGAAGGAAAAGTAGGGAAAGAGTGAATGTAAAGATAGGAGACGAAAGATAGGAAGAAGTGGCCGATTTTAGGTATCTAGGAAGTCAGGTAAGTCAGGACGAAAGGAGTAGTAGGGATAGAAAGCAGAGGATAGCGCAGGGTCGAGTCGCCTTCAATAAAAAGAAGTCACTTCTATGCTCGCGAACGGTTAATTTAGAAATTGGGAAAAAATTGTTAAAAAAATTGTTGTTTGGAGCGCGGCGCTGTACGGGTGTGAAACATAAACGGTGGGAGCCACGGAAAAGTAAAGGTTAGAAGCGTTCGAAATGTGGTGTTACAGGAGAATGATGAGGATACCGTGCATAGAGAAGTTTGAAAATGAAGAGGTATTAGAAAGAGTAGGAGAACAGAGGACTCTATGGAAGTCAATAAGAAATAGGCGAGATAGGTTAGAGGTAGGACACCTTCTCAGGCATGAAGGTTTAGTCAGAGACATATTGTAGGCAGAAATGGGAGTTAGGAGGGGTAGAGGTAAGCCTAGATTAGATTACTGTTCGCAAATAGTTAAGGATGTGGGTTGTTCCAGTTTTAGAGAAATGGGAAGATTAGCTTAGGATTCGAAACAGTGGAGGTGCGTGTTCAACCAGTCTTAGGACTGACGACCTTATGATGATGGTGATTTTTGTTCAGTTTAATTTAATTGTTTAGGCAACTATACCCTGCGTTATCCTTAGTTTTATATCTCTACTGCTCCTTCCATCCTGACTTATCGGACTTCCTACATGCCTACTGATCTAAGCTTTCGTATACTGTCTCTAGGCATATTCAAGTAAGGATATCTAACTAATAATGATGTGTGATGAATTAAGTATAATAATGTTTAATGTGTAATAATTTCCTCTCGATCAGCATTTTGTCTAAATGTCAACCAAGGATTGTTGTTCTTTATAAAACGCCACACTTACGATCGCGATTGGATTTATAGAAGTTATATTGTCGTCCAATCTCCCAGCACTTCCTTCTTCATCGAAATAGAATCTCTTCAAATGACGAAAACTGACCGTACCATTTTCATTATGCCATGTAATGTTCACTTTCTCCTTAGTCTCCTTATACCTGTAAGGCCCGACCTGTTGGAATCGGAACTTTGCGCTACTGTTATAGATATCTTCTGGATTCGTCCAATTCCAGAGGTACAAATCGAGGTCCAAAGGTACCGGGGTTTTATGCCAGAGACCGTACAATTGACTGTCAGGTCCCAGAACCAGCTGGGAACTTAGGATCATGTCGAGTATTTTTTGCCATAGGAAAAGGAGTGTAAATCCTGCTCCAAACAGTACTACCGATAACGACGCAAGGAACGCATTTCTCCTAAGCATGACAGAAGAGCACGTCGCCCGTGCTGAAAAGCAATATAAAAATTAACCCATTACACAATTGCGCAATATTTTTCTAGCTACTATGCCATGAATTTATTTGCTATTTATTAATAATAGTCGATTGCTACATATCATAATAACTGTTATCAGCATAAACGTGGATTTTCATAGCTATACACGTACTTATTATAGATTTACATTACAAAAAGTGTATACGTAATCGCAACATAATCTTTTATTATATCACCTTGTAGCAGATGGTTAAATCTTAATAATATGCAAATTTAATGAAGTAACTTGCTAGTCAAGTGGCTAGTGCGTTGTATCTTATGCAGGTTTTCGATGTCTCAAAAACAAAATTTTTTGGCGATTTGCTCACGTCGGTGTCGGCGGCATCATATATTACTTGGCTCAAAACTAAGATGCTGTAAAGTAATAGAGCATACGTACTAAAGGCTGATTCATACTATCGGTCAAATCACGGCGAAGGCACGGTGCGAATACAGTCAAGAATAGTTTTACATGACAGTATTTATGTCACGGTTCAGTCAGTCAGTCAATTAACCGCGGTATTCCTCTTCAACATTGTCTCTGTATAGCATAGGTACCTACAAAGCTCGATTCATAAAATCGGTCAAGTCACGGTTTAAGTATGGACAGATATGCTATAAAGCTCGATTCTTATTATCGATTAAGTCACGGTCCAGTCACTTAATTAACATTGTGGTATTCTTCTTCGACTTTATCTCAATTCCGCCGTGACTTGGTTGATAATATGAGTTAAGCTTAATAGCATAACTAAAGCCCAATAATATAAATAGAGCTTTACAGCATGTCTATAAAGCCCGATTCATACAATCGATCAAGTCACGGTCCAGTCAGTCAATTAACTGCGGTATTCCTCTTCAAGTTTATGTCAATTCCGCCGTGACTTGGTCGATACCATGAGTTGGGCTTAATAGCACAAATATAAAGCCCAATAATATGAACCGAGCATTATAGCATACCTATTAAGCCCGATTCATACAATCGGCCAAGCCACGGTCCAAGTATAGTTAAGTACGCTATAATGCTCAATCAAAACACGGCCCAGTCAGTCAACTAACGGCGGTATTCCTCTTCAACTTTATTTCCTTTCGCCGTGACTGAACCGTGGCTTGGTCGATAATATGAGCTGAACTTAATAGCGTAACTGTAAAACCCGATAATGTGAACCCAGCATTATAGCATACCTATAAAGCCCCATTCATACAATCGGTTAAGTCACGGTACAAGTATGGATAAGTATGCCGTAAAGCTCGATTCGTATTATCGATCCAAGTCATGGACCAGTTAGTCAATTAATAGTGGTATTTCTTTCGAACTTTTTTTTTTGACCTGACCGAGACTGGACTGTGACTTGACTGATTGCATGAATCGGCTATGGATAGATGTGCTATAAAGTTCGGTATCTACTATTAAATGGTGACTCGATCGATAATATGCATAGAGATTTATAACTGGACCGTGACTTGATCGATAAAATTGACTGATTGAACCATCACTTGACTGTTTCTTACAGTATGAATATTGCCATACGAAATATATGCTGCAGTATTTTACTTGACTGTGACCGGACCGTGACAGATAGTGTGAATCGGGCTTAAAAAAATTGTTTATATATTTATAAATAAGTAGCAGCAGGAGGTACCTACTACATATAATTCAAATTTGTAAGACAAAAATTACTCAGTTTTTCTGTTGTACTAATTGTAGTTGATCTTCAAGAATTTTTAAGTATAAAATCTTAATTTTACGTTTTTTCGTTCATTAATTTTTGCTGAGATACAAATTAAATTAAATCATTCATCAACTATTTACTGTGATTCTAATTACTAAAATAGTTACCTGTTTTCATTGTATGGGTCATTTTTATTAACTATCGGTAACACACAAATTAACTTTTAATCACGTTTAAATCACAGATGAGGTTTAGCTCTGACGAGAGTTTTTGAAGACACTGAAATTTAAATCTGTATTTGTTGATGCTCGCACGTTTTTCAGTTTGTTTATTTCAGCGAGACGCAAAAGAAAGATGTTTTTAATTTTATGAACGCTACAATAATAACGCTGTATGTCTTAGTACACTGTTGAAAAAACTAAATAGACTTTGTTTTATTTTCTGTCCGCTGAAAAATTGGCAGAAGACCCCTTTCCGTGGCGGCATATGCCAAAATTTCGCCGATGTATTTACGAACTAGTTTAATACCAAATATCTATTAATAACGTTAAACAAAAATAGTCAAAACAATTTAATATTATGCATATATTTTATTATCGTTTGCGTTTATGCTAATACGATGTATCATAAACATTTATTTACTAAATTACCTACGGTTTCTTAATTTTATGAAACAACGTAACGTCATATTCG